TGCTTTGCCATCCAGTTATCAGGCAACATGACCTGATTCTGGCTCGAAATGATTAAAAAAAAAAAAAAAACCACCTACAATTCATCTGCTTTGTCATAGTCTTCCATGTTTCTCTTCATGTCTGCTTCTTGCTTGACAAGGCTGTATTTTGGTTAAGACTAGTGAAAAAGCTGAGTGACTACTGGGATTATTATATTTTCAAAGATTGGGTTGTCTCTTGCATCTCTGTCCAAAAATTCTCAGAGTAATGCGAGACATTTGTAACATCAAGTAGTTTAGTCGATACCAGTCCACAATTTACAATTTATGTATTGCTTATCAGGAGGAGTTATATTCTGCTTTTAATGTTTACAAAACCCAAAGAAAGAACCCTCTCTACAACGCAGTTTGGAAAATAAAAATAGGGACTTTTTGTTGCTCTCTGATGTTTCTTTCTTTGCTTCTTGTGTACATTCCAGCTCAAGGAAGCCTTTGGAAAATTTGAACGTTTACTATTCTTGGTTTTTTTTTTTGTCCCAATACATATACTGGGGATAAAGCAGTCTTCCTTTTCCACTGTAGTACTTGAATACCTGAAGAGGGATAATTATGTTACATAGTTGGAAAGATGTCACCAATCTCAGCTGAATTTGTGAGAAACCACATTTGCAAATACATTTTTGTACAGTGATTTAAAGTAAAACCTTCCCTTTAAATCTTTTATTCTTGAAATATGGTGACTTTAACTTCACTAGCAGTGTCCTGTATTACCGTAGTGCAATCGTGCACGTGCCTGCTGAGTCGTACCAGGTTTATTCGGGCATACTCCTGGGTCAGTTGGTCCTGAGCTGCCATCCTAAATGTTCTCACAGCTTAGTTTCCAAATACTGCAATTTCTGATTTCACATTTCTGAATTCCTAATGATATGCTCTTTAGAAGGCCAGATCCTGAAGATGAAACTCAAATACTTTGGCCACCTAATGAGAAGGAAGGACTCCCTGGAGAAGACCCTGATGCTGGGAACAATTGAGGGCAAAAGGAGAAGGGGACGGCAGAGGATGAGGTGGCTGGATGGGGTCTCTGGGGCGGTGGGTGTGGGCTTGGCTGGACACCGGGGGATGGTGGAGGACAGGGGGGCCTGGAGGAATGTTGTCCTTGGGGTCACGATGGGTTGGGCACAACTTTGCAACTAACACAATAACGATATGCCTGATACTATTTTTTACTGAGGTCTGAATAAAGCCTGTCATTCCATTTCCTTTAGGTTCTTTACAAAAGAACAAATGGATACAAATCCATGCTACCTAGTTTTATAGATTATAAGAATTTGTATTTGTAATACTTTATTACAGGGTCAGAAATGGTGTTGCGATAGTTCCATGAAAGTGCAGACTGTTTGCTTTCAGAACATCCCAGATGCAAATCCCGACTTCCGCGGCTTAAAAGGATCTCCAACACGGTGTTGGGGAAGACCGGTTTTCACACTGTAGCGGGATGCTGCCTGATGGAATTGGGAATATTGTGCTAGGTGGAACTCATTGTTTATACGCTCCCCATGCCGACGAGTCCCAAGAGCTGCCCATACTGGGTCTGGCTTCCTTTTAGAGAAGGATCCCTCTATAAGTGCCTCCAAGGCTGCCACAAAGAGGAAGGTCAAGATCTCTTCTTGCCGATGCCAGAGTGCAGGACACAGAATAATCAAGTCAAGCTGCGACAACCCAGATTCAGGCTGGACATCAGGAAGAGCTTCCTCGCTGTCAGAGCAACATGACATTGGAACCAGCTGCCTGGAGAGGTGGGGGGCTCTCCCATGCTGGGGACATTCAAGGAGAAACTGGGCAGCCCTCTTAGTGGGGTGGTGTGACTTGGCGTCCTGCACCAGCAGGAGGGAGGACCTGATGGCCTTCATGGCCCCTTCCAACTCTACTATTCTATGATTCTAAGTTTTGTGATGCTCTGTAATATCTTGGTTCATTTGCATAGGCCTGTGCAATGTAGCCTCCTCCTGGAAAGTCAGTGGCACGACCCTTTCAGACCCTGAAGACTGACCCTTGGGTTCATTTCATATCAGTTGCTAGAGAACATGAGCAACTTTAGCACTGGTGTCCTACTTGTGGGTTTTGCACAGACAGCAAGATTAACACCATGTGAAAAGGTATTCTGGAGGAGGGTAGGTTTAATGTAGCATGGTTTTCTTCCTTATGGTTCTTCTGATGTTCTCATTTATATACAAACTGAGCACAAATGCAGTCAGAAGCACCCTTAACAGGCTAAAATACTTATTATTTTATCATAAGAATGCCTGTATCACCCTCTCAATAGAATTTCCCAGGGCTGTGTAAATAAGAGAATTCAAAAGCAATTGAAATACAGGTAGATTAAGCAGAACAATAGAAAGACCAGAGAAGCAGCAATATCTTAAGAGGAGATTAAAAACAAACAGCCAGGGTAAAATGATGTGTAAATGGGATTGTTACCACCTCATGGGATTGGTTGTTGTAGTGTTTTTAAAGGCTCTTAGTGTAGTTTTAATTATTCATCGGTTTTACATTGTTTCCAGATTTGTATGATGTATTTTAATGTGAACTGCAAGGGAGTTAATGTATTAAGTGGTACAAAAGTATTATAAATAAATAATAAAAATTAAGCCTATTAGGTCTAGAAAAAAATAAAGGAGAATTGCCTTTCAAAAGATGAAGGAAGGAAAAAAGGGGGGAAAGGAACAACAAGAAAAAGTGGACTGTTCTCATTTATGGGGAGAACTCTAGAGTGCCATCACCGAAAATACCTCCCATATAGCACAAGCTGCAGGGTCCTTAAAGCACAGGATAACCCACGTGTCCCCAGGGATACAAACCACTGTCTTCTCTAGGCAGAGCTTCCATTGAGCAAATATACTATTCTCCAGAGAGGTGGCCCAGCTTTCCCTGTGATGATTCTTTCTTCTCCCCTCCCTTTTCTGTCTCTGACCTGGTTGCCCTTCTCTCTCACGCTGTTCCCAAGATGCTTCTGCCTTTCCCTGACAGGTGAGTTGCCTTCCTCAACATGGCTCTCGCTTTCCAAGATAGGCAACCTTTCAAGGTGCGGACACGGCTGGCCCCTTGAGGAACGGTCCTGGGAACCAACCTAAAATGGATGGGACAAGAGGCTTGGCCAAGGACAAGAAACCTACCAAAAAGGTTGAGTGCCAGGCGAAGGGAGGTTCCAAGTCCCACATTCTTCGAACCTAGTTTTCAGCACCAGCAGAAGCCTATTTCACAGCAATTCTCCCTGCTGGGAAGAAAATAATAATAACCAAATAATAAAAAAATAAACGTCGGTGCAATAATAAAAAAGTAGGAGCAGTAGACCATGCTGGCCACCACAGAGAAAGCTGTCCAAGGATGTATTGGTGCCCATGGTAACCTTGCTCTCCATCCCAGTATAGATCATTGAACTTGCACTGGGGGCACTGAGGTTGCATGAATTCATTATATTTCCAGCTGTTTCTCCTGCAAGGAATCCCAAGGTAATTTCCATAATTCCTCTCCTCTCCTCACAACAACCCTGCAAGGTAGGTGAGGCTGAGAGTCCGTGAGTGACTCAAAGTCACCCATAGCTGAGAGGGAACAAGAAGCTGGCTCTCCCAAGGCTTAATTCAACCTGCTGTAGCCAATACACTGTCCTGGTGTCCACTGTAGGTTAGCAGTTGCCCCCTTTTCCGTTAATTAGTCTAATGAATGTTGACAGGACAGCTGATTGGGTCAGGGAGGTCATAAACGCCTGCCTATCAGATGGAGTGGTTGTGAAGAGCCCACAAGGACAAGGAGCCGCTCCTTCCTTCTCCCAGCTCTTGGGTGAGACCAGCTTTCCCGACTCCTTTCGGTTGGGGTACCCAACCCACAGGGCTGGCGGAGGAGCCCCAAGGTTGGCTTCAGGGCTCCTCCTCACATCTCGCCCCCAGAAGCAGCTCAGGGGCTGCCAGTGCCGGACAGTGTCTTTTATTTTATTTATTTTACTTAAAACTGTTCTATACTGCCCTTCACTAAAAGTCCCAGGAGAGTAATACAATGAAATAAAGGGACAGCATCAAATGGAAAATTCAAATAAAGTCCCGCAACTTTTCCGGGGAAGTGCCAAGTTGCTGCAGGACTCTTCCCCAGGAATGCCACCGGGGCCGACTCTGCTGCCGGTGACACGCTGGCAAATTGACCAGGCCTGCTTTGGGGGTGTTTGCTCCAGGCTGAGCGCTGGGGCACCTTCAGTGCACGTGTGGATGCGCGCCCTTCATGGACTCTGGCCTCGAGTTTAGGTTTTTGCCAGTTGCACATGGTGGGCATGTCGTGAGCGGAGCCGGCTGGAGCCGGGGGTCAGACTAGATGGCCCCGGGAGGCCCCTTCCCACTCGCGCTGTTTCTGTGAAGGTTTAGGTCGGTTCCCGCCGCCTCGTATCGTAATCACAGGTCTGCGTCCCGTGCGAGTCACCCGAGCGGCCTCCTGCGCTGGGAAGCGACGCGTACCTTCAACAGCAACAATAACTGCCCACCCTTCTGAAAAGGCACAGGGGCGTCTTAAATATCTATTTTCCCCGGGGTGCGCTCCCGTTTTGGGTTATAACTCCCATGAACCTCTGCGACTGGCCGGGCTGATGGGAATTGTAGGCCGAAGGGACGGGAGCGCCCCAAGGTGAAATAAGGCGCCCCGGAAGGGCGGAGAGGGGCGTTCCCGAGGCGCCCCGTCGGGAGTCCTATTACAGCAACAAGGCGCCCTCAACGCGCGCGCCGGCCAATGGGAAGTCGGGGGCGGGACTCCCGGGCGACGCTGGATGCGTCCAGTGCCCGCGGCCTCCCCGGTTGCTTAGCGACGTCCTCGCAGGGAGGGCGTTCGCGGGGAATGGCCGTCGCCGGGCAACGGCGCCTGGCTGCGGCTGTTTCGCAGTTTGCCCGCGTGCCGAGCGCTCGCAGGGGCCGTAAAGCGCGCCGCCGCAAAGTCTCCTCTGGCTCCGTCCTGCCGCAAAATGCCGTGAGCGGCGCCCGGTCGGTCGGTCGCGCTGGCGGAGGGCCTGAGGCGAGAGGGCGAGGCGAGGCGAGGGCGGGCGACCCGGCTCCGTCCCATGCTCCCTCGGTGGCGGGCGGCCTTTGCCTTCCCCTTCATGCGGGGCCCGGGCCGGGGCTGCGCCGGACACTCCCGCGCCCAGGATGGCCAGGAAGACAGTTAGCAGGAAGCGGAGAGCGGCCGCTCCCGCCGCGGGGCCCGGCGGAGAGCAGGTCAGGCCCGGGCGGCGGCTGCTCGCGGGGGCGGGCAGGCGGGCGATTTCCCCCCTCCTCGCTGCTCGGTCGGGGCGAGGCGCGAGTGTCGGGCGGGTGCCTTCCCTCGCCCACCCCGCAGGCGGGGGAGCCGAACTCCGGAGAGGCCTTGCCTGCCCCCCGCAGGGGGGTCCCGGTTGCCGGAAAGCCCCGGGGCTCAGACCCAGGGGGCGCAGAGCCGAGGCCTGCCCACCCCACTTCTCTCGCGTCTGCGCGGGGCCCGGCAAGGGGCCCTTCGAGGCCCCGCCCGCGGAGAGGGGCGCGGAGGGCATCTGCCCGCGGAAAAAGGCTCCGGCGTAGGGTTCAAGGGCGGCCCGGCGGCCCGTGCGGGCAACGACCAGCCCACCCGGGGGCTCGCAGGCGATCTGTTGCACTCGTGGCCGCACGCATGCCTCGTCCCCCTCCTCCTCCTCTTGCAAAGACTCCGGCGGCTTGCAAGGCTCGCAGCTCTGCCTTGCATCCTCCTGGATCCCTGCGGGGAAGGCCAGCCGGGGGTCAGCGGCTGGCCCAGGGGGCGCCCGATGGTCGCGTGGGGGCTCGAGCGCTCTCCGCCGCCCACCCCCTGGCCAGAGGCGCCAGGTAGGCCCAGGCGCGCTCCTCCCGCGAGGGCCCGCGGTGGGGCAGGAGGCCTCCCGGGCGCTCTGCTGCCAAAGGAAGCGGTTGGGCTCCCGCGGGCACCGGGGTCGGGGGCGCCGCATCGCGCTCCTCGGGCGGGCGGGCGGGGATGCAGCCCGCGTCCGGTGCCGGCGGCGCGGCTGGCCCAAACGGCGGCCCGTGCTGCGGGCGGGCCTGGGGGAGCGCCGGGGCTTCGCGGGCGAGGCGTGCCCGGGCGTCCTCCTTGCCGCGCCTCGCCCACCGTGCCCCCGGCCTCCAGGGCTGCGCGCTCCCGTGCGGCTGCCGGGATGGCGGCGAGGGCCGCGGGGTGGCTGCGGCCGCGCCTCG